TTTTGTCCCTCCCCCCCCCCCACCCAAAAAAAAAAAAAAAAATCCGTGGGGTGTGTCAGAATCCAGCTAGGACCTCGCAGTGCTGGAGGGATGACACCTGTATCCTCGCTTGCTCACTGGTAGGGCATGGAGCGAGACAGCACAGTGGTGCTGGAGGCTGTGAGGGGCGAAGGATGCATCCCCCCAGTTCACGAGGGCCCTTACGGAGGTGGTGCAGTGTGCGGGAGCTGCTGCCTGACCTCTGCTGCCTGAGGCCCCTGCCCTGGCCCACGCAAAAAGATGGTGCTCACAGTGCATCTCAGGAGTTTGTGCAACATGGAGGAGTATAATGGGACAGTAGACTTCAAATTCCATCACTATCTATAACAAAGGGATTCCCCTCCCCCCCCCTTTTAATTTGGTCTCTGTGCACTAAAATGTTCTGGCCTGCCCATTTGTGTGACCCACCGGCGTAGCTGTGTCTGTTTGGCATGTCTCTTCCCTCTTGGACTATCCACAGGTGAGGTCTTAGAGAGTGCATGGAGATGTCCCGGAAAGATCCGTTTGTCGCTTTTTTGGTTTCTGAGTCTAAATTGCTTCAGGGAGCAAAATGAACCCTAGAATAAATAATATAAAATAAAAAAAAAAAAAAAATCTGCCATGTGGTAGAAGTTATTGGCAAGTTGTTAACCAGCCAAGAAGAGTGGCAATGCAGCCCAGAGTCCTCCTGGAGCTTTGTGTTCGGAGCCGGCTTCTGCCTTCCAGGCAGCTCTGCTGGTACTGATGCCCTGGCTGGTGCTACTGCGCAGGCAAATGTTCTGTCAAATGGCCTGCCCAGAATGACGGGGTATTTCTGTACCACTGCTGGCAAAATTCCTCCGTGCATTTGGAAAAGTCCTGTGCCAGGAGCTGATGTGCGTGTGATGCCGCTGGCTTGACATGGGAAACTTTGGTGGCTTCGGCACGTGCCAGCGTCAGGTGCATCTTGCCGTTAGCAGCATGAACTGTGTGTTGCTGAAATAAATTCCATTCTTTTGGATTGTGCTCTTACCGGACACTTTAACAGCCAGCTTTTCAACCCGTAATTCTTTTTTGAAGAGTATTACTGTGCTTCCAAGATGTCTTTTAAATGTTTTCAGGTTGTGCCTAGCCTGCAAGTTTGCCAGCTCCTGCATCAGTCTGAGATCTGAATCTCTTGCTATTTCTGTTGCTCTCCATGTCTTGTTAAAGGTGGAATATTTGGAGCAAGAGTTTTGTTTATGGTTTTTCCTTTATATTTTAAAAGGAATGAAGATAAGCTTTTAAGGCAGAGAACAAATTTAAGAAAAAAGTCAGTATGTTGTTGCTGCTTTTTTCTAGTGAATGTGCAATGGAAAGCAAAATGTCACTTTTTTAACCTTTTTTTTTTTTTTTAATATATAAGGAAGGCCTGAGAAGGACTCTTTTTTAAAAAAAATGAAACATTGTTATAGTTTATCTAAACTGTTTTTGCTGAAGTTTTTTTGAAGTGCCAGAAAACTGAGCTTCCAGACCCTCAGCTCTTAAGGGGTGCTGACACTGAATACTTAAATTGTTGCTGTCCAGAGGTTTACCTTACCCAATAAAAAAATCCCTTTATCTTCTTTCTGTTGCTTATGTTTTGTTTCACTGGTGTGTGTGCTATCAATGTTTTACTAGTTTTTATAATTCATTCAGTGTTTGTAAGAAAGCAAAATAGGTAAGTTGTGAAATTCTGATGTCAAAAATAAAATTAGGAGAAAATTAACAGGTTTTCTCTATTTGTCATGGATGCAAAAATTGAGACAAATGTGTTTTGATTTCCGCTGGGACTTGCCTCTACTAAGGACTCCACAAGAATTATGCGAGTGGAAGCATCCTTCCTTTCACTTCAAAATGTCAGTGATATAAGAGATATTTATTTGTTTTCCATGCTTCTCACTGAGCTACTTGCCTCTTGAGGTTTATAAAGAGAAGTCTGTTTCTTTTTTTTCTGGTCTATCATCCATTGCAGTCAGTTCAGTTTGTCCTTTTTATGCCTGGAGGTTTCAGATTTTTTTAACTGCTGAAGTTTATTAGGAGCATAAGATTCTAAAGTATGAGCTAACTTCCAGAAGTACCTTGTTGTTGTTTATCTGTGGTTTGAGAAATAAATGGACGTTTGAGGGTTGCAGCCTGCTTTCCTCTTTCATGAGGCTAACCTTGCTCCTCATTACGAAATATATACAAAACGCAGACTTACTCATTCAGGAAGTGCTTTGGTTTTACTTTAAAGTAACCAGTGACAAGTTTGAGCCATGTCCTGGCTTAATACCTAAATGTTCAGTTTGTGCCCATTGAAGTCAGTTGTTGCAGAAATACACAAATCTAACATCAGCATCTGACCCTTTAATTTATTTATTTTTAAACAGCTAATTCTTACTTCACTAAAATATAAGTTTAATTCCTCTTGAAATCAACATCTGATGTGTCTACATCAAGTTATGTTATCTTGCATAAAAAAATTCTGATTATGTCTGAAATTAGACTGTGAGAATCTGGAAATGGAAACCATCTCTTTTTGTACATTAAGAAAAGTTATATTACATTTTAGCTTATGGCCAGACAAATTATTATTTTTGTTCTTATTTTAGAGTGGTGTATGGTTTACATCTGCCTGCACATTCCTTTACTTATTCTGAAACTGGTGTGGCATCTTTACCATAGAATAAGGACATTACTAATGATCACGTTGTTTGGAAGGGTAGTTAGTGCCTTTCTTTCTTCTAGGCTGGTGTGTGGAGAGGCTATGTATTTCTGTCCCATCACTTTTTTCATCACTGTATTCTTACAGTGTTTTAACCCTACCTTTGTACTGTGGTTTTGTTTACTGAGCGAAATCAGCTGGAAAGCACTTGTGTAGGCTGTAGCAATCTGAAAATTTTATAGAGACTGAAAGACTAAGGTTTGTTGCCTTTCATTTTGTTTTTCAGCTCCAGAAGAAAAGGATGCAATTAAAGGACAGTATGAAAAACTCATGGATGCTTACGGCTGCTTAGGAGAGCTTCAGCTTAAATGTGGTAAGTGACCATCTGCATGACTGAGATTATAAAATGGCCAGACAATACCAAACGACAAGAAGTGGCTAAAGTTGTCTGATTCCTTAACTCATGAAAGCTAATTGCACCTTGTTATGTTCAGTCTGGAAAAGATCTATTTCTTTTTCTATGCTGTGTCAAAAGCATACTGCCAAGTGATAGTCTAAGAATTTTGGATTTTTTCTAACTTGTTTTGTCACATTCTTAGCTGCCTGAAGATAATTGTCGTCTTTTTTTTCCCTACCACATTTGTCCAAGGCAAACTGTGATGTCTTACTTCTTTTTGAAGGATCGTGTTTAAACAGTGATTAATCATGGTCATCTGAGACTGCAGTACTACAGATTCCCAGTCCTTGCTATAGTGCCCAAGTGCCTTTAATTGGGTAATTCACATGGATAAAGATTTGCAAAAGCATGCCTTTAACTTCAACTAGGATAGTAAGGAATATTTATTGTCATTGCTGTAAATTTCTGTACAGTTTGGGAATCTTGATTTAGCAAAGGACTTGCTATTACACTGCCTGCAGGAATGTTAATGGAAATAGCATGTTTTAGGAAAAGAACTGCACTGATTTGAAGGTAATAGTACCTTACACAGCAGACTTCAAATTCACTGATGAAAAAAGTGTGTTAAAACAAAAAGCACTATATGCCTTGTTCCTATGGTCTTCTTACAGTAAGCCTTAATTTTGACTTGGAGGAATGACAAGACTGTTTTCCATATAACTCAATGCTTGGTCAAGGAATCTGCCAAAGGCAGTGGTGGTGTGAGCACCGGTGTATTTAGTCCAGTAGATATAAGTGTATCTTTTTATAGCCCACTTACCATTTTATGGCATGAATAATATGACTTGAGATTGATCTGAAGAGGCAACTGCCATCTGAAAGGTTTCTGTATCATAACAAAACTGTAGGCCCATCCAGTCTTTTTAAATGAATGTGGGCTTTTTGTTTGTTTTGTTTCTTGTGGAGTTAATTAGGCATTTCTATGGAGATTAATATCAGTTTTTTAATGTAATTAAAAATGGAGGGCTTTTGATTAGTTTTTCTTGGCACTTGGACCTGTTTTTCTTCATAGGAGTCTAATGAATCCTATTGTAATAGTGAAGGAATGTAGCTATTGAATTCAAGCTCTTCAAGTTACAGAGAGGGTAGTTTCTTGTACGTGATGGGAATGAAATATATCCGATTTTAGTCTTCATATTAAAAGGTGAATGATTTCAGATGGGGTATGAAATATTCTCAGCCTTATTTTTTCTCTTTTCTCCTTTTATTTGTCTGTTTCCCATGCCCTTACTTCTTTTTGAACGACACCTGCTTAACTTCAGTGCCCTTAAAGTGTGAGGTTTTTCCTCTCTGAGCTTTGTCACTGCACCTCTGTCTTGTTCTAGCATTAAACTACAAGTCCTGGTACAGGACTTCCTTTGGAAAGGATTGTTAAAAATTTTATTGGTAATTGGATAAAAAAGTTAACCACTGGAGGCAAACTTCTAATTGCGATTGAGTGAAAAGTCAGGAGGGTCATGCTGTAATGGTAAGCAAGGGTAAGCAAACATTTTCTGCTGCTGAACATGTTTAAAAAACTAAAGATGATTGCGTGCCTTCTCACCATTCAAGAGGTAGCCCAGTTTTTTTTCACAGTCTTACTTAGATCTTCCGTCTTACATATAAGTAAGTTCCATCCCTTTAGCTATTGCTTACATAAAAGATTAACACTAGAAAGGAATGCAGTGTAACTTTTTTTTATATAATGTATTGTAGCAGCTGCAAACAAGGGCATAATTGGCCAGCTCTTCACTGAGCATCAGCAATTACATAGACTTTGTTCAGGAGTATGAGTATTTTTTTCTTACTACTGGAATCCTGCAGACCATAAGTACTAAATTAACTGAAAATATTTGTGAAAGTACATTCCACTGGGATATTAAAAGAGTATATTTGTAGAGCAGAAGGGGAGACTTTTTTTTCAAGACATGAAAGATGTCTCTGAGCACTTTAATTAATCTGTAAATATCACTACTTAGGAATCCAAATAAATCACATTGTATGCCTGCCAAAGTAGATCGTGCTTTTCACAAGAAAGTAGATGAAATACGTGAAACTGACTCACAAAGTTAATGTTTCCCACCAGTAATAACATTCACTTCTATGTACTTATGTCTGTTAACATGACTCACTAGGTTCTTCTGCTTTCTTTTGTGAGATGGATGGCAGCAGGACGAATTGTACAGTGTTTCTGAGCTGTATCTCAGCCAAGATTTTGCTGCCAAAGAAGATCTAGCAAATACATCTCAAGCAAAGTGTTATAAGAGCTGGCTTTGCAGTGTTTGATTTAGACACTGTGACATCAGGAAGGGGTCCATACATAAGGATTTATTTTGACACCATCACCATGTAGGTTGTTTAGTTTAATACAGCTGCTGTATTTGGGGAGGCATTCTGAATTAATTTGACTGTGTATATACTCTTGCTCGTGCACATATACAATGTGTAGTTGAAAGGAAGAAGTTTCAAAGGCAAAAAGGACAACTACCTACCTGTTTTCTATTCCTTATGAACATTTCCTAATGTGTAATTGTATTTAGAAGAGGGAGGAAGAGTATCTTTGAGACTAAAACTGTAGTTTGGAAAATCTTGGTTCTTTTCATAATTTGCTATAGATTTCTGCAGAGATTTTCAACTAGATGCTAATTTTGAAGGCAGATAATACCTTGCAAATTGCCTTTCAGTGGACTATAAAGTGAAGTGGAGGTATGTGTGGGGTGGAGATGGAACAGGCTGAGGGAACATAAGGCAATGGCATGACTGTGCTGGAATGGAGAAAGAGGAAAAACTGGAGTGAATTAATTTTTAAAAGGAAAAGGCAGTCTTGGGTGAAATATTTACAGTTAAAAAGGACAAAATAAGAATTGGATATCTCCTCCTTTTCACTGCAGCTCAAAATAAGCAACTCTGAAGTCATCCCATAAACTGCAGGGGAAACAATTGCCTTGAGTCATGTAGACAGGTTAAATACAGAAACTGCAGCTTATTGTTGTGGGGTGTGACGTACCAGAACCATGTTTCCTGTTCAACTTGGATTAAGGCAGTGGGTTTCACAAGAGCTTTTGAAAAAATGGATGCAAGTTATTTTTGTCTTGATGCTATGCCAAATATTCTCCATCCTCCATCTCCCTTGTGCAACCTGATAAAAGGGCATTCAGCACATCGCTGTGAGCAAAACATTTCTTACATTTCTTTGAAAGTGTTCTTTACAGACGGTTGTGGTGATTTATAGCTGTAATGGGGCAAAATAATGATCTTGGTCATGATGCATGAACATTTATACTCATCTATCTGAGATCAAAATTTGGTCCATAAGCTTTGAAAGACTTTTTTTTTCCTGTAGTACTTGCTTTTTCATAGATGTGTTGCTGTAGAAAGCATGACCAGTAAGGACCACTTCACTCTTGCTCTAAAATTGTTTCAGAGATTTCTTTAAAACATTACAGATTGCATCCTAAGGAAACGAGGGACATTTCCACAGGTATGATTGTCAATTGCAGTTCATATGTTCCTAAATCACTTCCATCTATGTGTAAAATTTAGAAAGGCTAATATAAAGCAGAATTGCACATTAAACTACTTGTAAAAGTTTAAAAAAAAAAAAAAAAGTTGTTTTCTAAGGTGGGGGACCCGGTAAATAGTCTGCAGCTGATGTGAGGTGTAAGAGCCAGAACTGGAGCCTTGATTACTTCACAGAAAAAAGTTTTTCCTTTTTTTCAGTTGCTTTTTATTGGCCCTGGTGCTGGTCCCATTCATCATGCATTTTGCAGCTGTCAGCTGAATATAACATCCTTTCTGTTACTGTACTGCACATGAAATCAAGGGAAAATTAGTATAAATTTTCCACCCAGCATACTTCCATTAATTACTTTTTTTGATGGGAACTGTTGGGCTCCTGTTTCAAGAAATAAGACTGGAGTTTGGCCTGTCCCCTACTCCAGATACGCAGGGAGCTCTTGAGAGCAGGAAGCCTACATAGGCTGGCTGCAGTGGTAGTACTGGCAGGGCCACTGATTTTAGGGAATTGATTTAGTGTTAATTCTCTCTTTGATCTTGAGGATGCACTGCCAGCGTTTTAAAACTTGGCTTCCTGACTTATTTGAGCTTACACTTAAGCAGTGACTGCTCATTTCATGGCTTTTGTATTTTTTTTCCATGTTGCTATTGATGTTCTGGACAGAAGAAACATAAACACCTTGAATACTGTTTAGCTCCTTTCGAAGGCTGTAACTCCATAATATGCTTCCTGATGATGCTGCCAGGCGGATTTGACTGGACTATCTGATGTATTTTTGCTGTGATGTTTTGTGGTGTTAGTCTGGTACTTCCAGTGTGGCTTGCATAAAAACAGTTTCACTGGAAACTTAAAAGGAGTGGTATATTTAATATAATTACAGAATTGGAAATGGTAGTGAGCTGCAGTTTTGAAAAGTTAAGGCTGCAGGGATTAATGGAATAGTCTCGACTGTTTTAAGGGGAAATACCTTCTAGCTTTAAGGAATGTCTGGGTGTTTCAATTTGATCTATTTCATTAAAGCTGTGATATTTTCACAGTTTGCTCAGCAAAACCAATTCAATTAAAAAAATCCTCTCTTTCTTGTGCCATGGCCTCACAAATCCACTCACCATAGGAAATTCCATGTCGTGTTGATAGCAGGATTTTTTGGGGGGTTTTTGTTTGCTTGGGTTTTTTCTTGTTTGGTTTGGTTTTTTTTGTTTTGTTTGGGTTTTTTTGTTGGGTTTTTTTCTTTTTTTGGAGGGTGGGTGTAGTAAACCAGTGCAACTTCTTGCATTCTTTTGTGAGATTTACTGGATAATAAAAATGAATTGTTTAGGAACTAAAAGAATTTTTCAGTAAATTCTTGTCAGCTAAAAATGTTGTTTTCCTTGCAATGAATGAACAATTGCCAAATAACTTGGTATCTGCAATTTTTAGAAATGGAGAAAGTTGATTTTAATTTTGCTTTTTATAAAAATTACTTGCTGCAGTAGCAGCATACATCCTGATTGAAGCAATTGAAGCAATTTCTACCCTTAAATTTAAGTGCATTTAGGTAGGGTTGTGGTTGATACAGCTGTTTTCATGTTAAGTATCTATTTTCAACAGGAAAGATTATGGCTTGTTGACATCTACATGCCAGAAAAGAAACCACATTGACTTTTTGAAGTTTAAATTTAGAAGTAAATGGACTGATTTTTTGCTTTAATATATCCATAATAATAATAATCAGACTTTCAGTAACTGGCAAATAAGCAGCAGTGTTTTCCCTGTGGCTGGTATGTTAGGTTTCTGCCATATTAGGTACTATTTGAATATGTAATGCTTTTGGTTTATTCCTTGGAATAGCATTTTCAATTTAAAATGCCTAAGTGAAAGCATGAGTGGAGGTAGCGCAGTTATAATTTCCATCACAAACTTGTCCAATGTAGTTATCAATATATTTAAAAGCACTGGCAGCCTGGGTTGAGGGGAAACTGTGAGGAAAAAAGGTTTGGGATTGAAAGAAGAGATTCTCAGACGTAAGCTGATGCTGCTGGCAAAGAAGGGAAGACGGGGAAAGCTTTGTTTCACTGTGTTTAGCTGTATAGCTTAGTGGTAGGTAATTTCTTAGACCTTAATTGGAGACATGAGTAAAAGAGGAATAGCGGAGTAGTGTTTTGGTAGCATTAATTTTGCCATGTGAGGTTCTAAAAGGGTGAAAGGCTGATGGGAACCCTACCTCTGTTCAGGACCCTGGGGCTACATCTGTGCTATGAATAAAAATGGGGCAGGGCACAGGCCTGAGCGCTGTCAATAGCATACTGTGATTAGCTTGCTCCCTATGCCAAGAGTGGCATGCGCATCGGGCAAGGATCTTCATCCCCCAGACAGTGCAGTGATAGCCTAGAGCTGATTCCCAGCAACACAGTCCAAATACCACCTGGGATGAAGGTGATATTAGGGGATAGAGCTTGGGACTTTTTTCCAAGGCACAGTCAGAGATATTTGTGTTAAGCTGAGTCTCTGGTGTTGTAGGGTTTCTGCATTCTGTCTGTTTTGTAGCATATCCTGAGTGATTTTAGCAAAACAGAGAGGTTAGAGTTGATCTGAAGACCACCTCAGTTCACAGAGCAGTCTAGGAGGACAAAGTAGCAAAGCAGGCTAGCTTTATTGTAGCTTAAATCTATTTGTGTCTCTACTTCCTTTTTCTCCAATTTACTTACCTGTAAGTGTGATCTCCTTTGCCAGCCTGCCTCTGTTCAAAGGCATCATGAAAAGTGCATGAAGGATGAAGGCTGCTCCAGAATTTGGAGTACTGTAAAGAGACTTACCCTGTGTATATACAATTATAGAATGGTTTGGGGGTTTGGGTCAGAAGGGACCTTTAAAGATCATCTAGTCAAATCTCCCTGCCATGGGCAGGGACATCTTTCACTAGATCAGGTTGCTCAAAGCCCCGTCAAACCTGACATTGAAAGCTTCCAGGGATGGGGCATCCACAGCTTCTCTGGGCAACCTGTTCCAGTGTCTTACCACTCTCATCGTAAAAAATGTCTTCCTTATATCCAATCTAAACCTACCCTCTTTCAGTTTAAAACCATTGCCCATTGTCCTGTCACTACAGGCCCTGGTAAAAACTCTCTCTTTCTTATAAACCCCCTTTATATATTGAAAAGTTGCAATAAGGTCTCCCCAGAGCCATCTCTTCTCCAGGCTGAACAACCCCAACTCTCTCATGTGGGGTTTCTGCACAGTGGCAGGAAAGAGTATTACAGCTTCAGAAAGCCATCAGTCTCCTGATGCTTCAGGGACAATGCAGTAGCTTCTTAGCTGTGACTACTATTTTTGAGCTCATTAGCTAGTAATTTGGGGGAGTAGAGATGCTCTGGTGGAGTAGAGATGGACCTCTGCATGTGTAGATGTGTCTCCCATTTTGGGGGTGAGTGGTTGAGTGGAGGAGGTAGGCTAGAGTCTCTGCTAAGGGATAGCAAGTTTCTAGGTAAGGCAAAACTGCGTAGTTTTGATTTGCTTTTCTGTCATGATTTATTCTTACTTGTTGTCGTCTTAAACTAAAGAATTGCTCTGTTTACATCCAGTTATTTTCTGCCAGTTACAAGCTCCTCAAAGGATGGAACCACAGATAAAAAGCCCACTGTTATTAAAATAGCCAAAAGGAACAAAAAATTAATGTTGACTTTCTCATTTGATCTCTTCTGAACCCTTTAGGAAAGTCTAAGGTCACTGAAGCCAATGAAAGTGCTTGTATTCTTTGCCTCAGCATCCCAGCCAGCCAGCTCTCAGAGTCTGTCACTATTGGTTTTCTGTCCTTGGAGCTGACTGATAAGGGATAAGGCATATTAATAGTGTTTCTATACATTGCTTCCAAATTCTCATGAGTGAAGTTTACTTTGAGCTGATGAGTTTTGCATGGTTTCAGCAAAGTCACAAAAGCTATTAGCTATCCTGAGAGACAGCTAACTCCTCCTAACCCCTTCTGGGGGCTGCAAGACAGTATTTAGTCAAGTATGAACTACCGTGGTGATAACTGATGTATGTCCTACTCTTAATCCTTTATAATTATGCACGCTTGTGTGCAAAGGAGGAATAAACTGTCAGGTTTTATTTATTTCTGTACCACCACTACAGTGTCATCTAGAAAAGTACAGAAGACATACTTCTTAAAAACACTCAAGAAGGAGAACACAGCATACCCTTGTTACAGAAAGAAATGTGATGAATGGAGCTTTTTAGTAAATACCACCTACACTGGCCTTTATGCAAAACTGGAATCAGCAGAACAGAATGAATAAGATCTAATCTCCCACCTTGTCCTGCCATTCCAGTCCCATGTGCCTACACAAATATTCTGGCCTTGCTGCAAACCACCCCTGACTCAAGTTTCTGTGGACAACCTGCGATCTGGAAGCAAGGACTCCCCTGCTGGTGTTTCAGAAGAAAAACTAGTTGTTGCATGAGAGTTGGTCTGCGTTTTCAGACAGCGGGCACTGTGGGGGGTTGAAGATTAGTCCTTTAAAGTGTTCCCTTTTGCTGTCTGAAACCATACTGTCCCAGATTGTTACTGTGCTCATAGCTAATTAGCTTGCTTTTGGCAGGTCAGCTGTTGTTTCTGCTATGCTAGAGCAATAAATCTTGGCTCACTCCTACCTTTTCTTACTAACTGGAGTGAATAGGATGACATTGTCTCCATTAGAGGCTAATTGAAGTGAATCAAACAGTTTCTTCCTAGCAAAACCAGTGTTTCCAGACAATTGTTCTACTGTTTCTTAATTACTTTATCATTTCAGAGAGATTGAGCAGAGGTTGAAATCCTGCTGTGTATGAGAGTTCTGATTACAGCGGTGTTCTCAAGCTTCAGAATTTATCTTTTAGTTTTGGGGCCCTGAAATTCAGCTGCTTCATGATTTCACACTTTGCTTCACAGCCATGAGAGCTGGAATTCTTTTTAGTGATAATTGAGGTTGTCATCTAATCATGTACACTCTTGTGACATAAAAAGCAAAATCTCAAGAATTGGTAATACAGAAACTTTCTGAATGGCTGAACACACTCAGCTTCATCTGAAGCCAGTAAGAAATCTGAATGCTTCATGCCTTTAAAATTCAGAAGTCAGCTGAAAAATCCATAGTGAGGAATACACTTTATCTCATAAATGACCGTCTTTCACCTTTCCCTTCAATCAAATCCAATGAAAACTTTATGTTCTCTAGAGTGGTGCAGTTTGGTTTTTGAGTAGTGTCCCACCACCAAGGTCATTGCACTTCATAAAGTCAGTGGGAAATTCTAATGCAGCAAAGGATGGGAATGTATAAGTATTGTGGAATATTATGCAATAGCGCTCACTTACCTGCAGTCAAAAGGAATTCAGAAATGAGAATGAACATAGGCCGTGTTGTGTCATTTGTATTTGTTTTCTTCTGAAGCAAAGATACTGGCCTCTGCTGGAGCCCTGTCAGCATTGCATACAAGACTGATGCGAAATGGCATAGCCTGTGTCCACCTGTAACCCTTTTGTAACTATCTATCACCTTCTAGGTAACACTCGGCTGCACTTTCTGGTCCTGGTGACAGGCTGTACGTCAGTGGGAAAAATCCTGGACGCTGAAGTTTACAAAATTACTGCAACAGATTTCTGTCCTCTCCAGGAAGAAACCAAGGAAGAGGAGCGTGTTACTGCCTTGAAGAAAATACTGAACTCTGGGATGTTCTATTTCTCCTGGCCTAATGCAGGCTCAAACTTTGACCTGACTGTGCGGGCTCAGAAGCAGGGTGATAACCACTATGAATCTGGTAACTCGTTCTTCTGGTTAGTACTGCGTGTTATACCAAAGTCTTCTGTCATCCCCACCTGTATCTTATTGGTCAAACGTTATCAGAGGGAAATGAACATATGCATTTCAGGTGCACCTCCTTTATTTCACCGTCATGTCATTTTGCAGGGCACGTGGCCTTAGTGAATTCATGGTAAACCTGGGTCAAACAAGTAACTTCTGTTTAATTAAACAGAATCTGAAAGTGAAATGCAATTCTAATAACTAGACATTTTGTGTTTTTAAGAAGGAAACACAAGATGTATTGCTCACACTACAGAAACTTGTCTCTACACGTCACAAATAGTTTCCCCTGCAGTTCTTTTTAATAATTGGCTTTAAAAGTTACCTAACAGAAACCTGCACTTGAACTGTTCATAAATCCTATCATCCGTGCTGAAGTATCTTCCATTTCTTGAAAGTGTGTGTGTTTAAAGTCTGTAGTTTAATGTTTCAATAATATGCCCTAGTTTCTATGTTGAAAACATCAATATTAATATGTTTGCAGCTCAGTGTAAATGTGTGTTGCACAGAAGGAAACTCCTGTGATACTCTGCTCTGTACCTCTTACTTTCTAATAAAAAGAATTTCTTGTTGTGGTAAGTATTGGTTGAGTGGAAAGGAAAACACAGAGATGATGGGTTTTGTCTTCCGTAGGTGGGTTCACCATTGATGTAATTCAGTTTGCTTTATAAGTTCTGGCAGAATGCTTGAATTCCTGTACCCTCATTTTTTTCTTTTTAAACAACAAGATAGTCACACAGGGAGCATAGATGTACTGGAAATAAACAAGGGTTATATGCTGTGAGTGGAAAATAATTGGCAGAGTTAAATGTGGGTGTGCTGCTAGAATGTGTGATAAGTCTTGTCGCCCAAAGTAGGTGAATATTAAATAAACAAAAAAAGTTCATAATGGATGATAAATAAACATGAGAGCGCAGTTCATTCAGGCTAAATAACCTTTTTAGCTGTGATGTGACTTTGACTGGTAAGATCTAGTGTTTTAGTTTAACTCAGAAGAGAGATATATAAAACTTGCTTTCAACTGTGCTAATTATGCATTCCTCTCAAAAAACTCTCCAAGCATGTCAAGTTAGACACATGGCACAAATGAGCTGTATTCCAGTGATAAAACTCCTAAGGGGGCAGTATCCCTTAATAAAGAAACAACCTTTAAAGCAACTCTTTTTACCTGTACTGTCTTGAAACTTTTCTTCTTGGAAGATAAGTATTTGAACTTTCCTCCTTTGTTGCTTCTGGCTAATCTAGAAGTAGCCTTTGAAGAAGTTCCATTCTCTTCTATGTTGTAGAACAGGGATCAATGATGATAATATCACATTTAGGGCAAAAAGATGTGCCAAAGAAAATTTATCCTGAGGCAGTTATGTGATATGGGAAATGTCAGACCAAACAATAGATTCTTGAGAAAAGTAAACAATGGGATAAATAGTTACATGATGAAGAGTGTCAGGCGATCTTAGTTATAAGCAACATAAATTGCCTGTTAAATGAACTGCAACAACAACAAAATTCTACTGAAATTTGCCTGAGTGAGGCCTTCCTCTGTGAGTAGAGCTAGGAGAATGAGGTGGAAGAGATACCAAAACTTGTTTTAGAGCTGCTTTTTCAGTTACATATATAGTTTAAAAATGTGAGAATGACTTGCACCTTTTTCAGAAAAATGCTGTATTCTAGAAGAACAATTCTTCAGGGGTTTTGCTAGATATAATAAGTCTTATACAGGTCTGCTGTTGAGCAATAATAAATGATCATAAAAGGGATTTTCTTAGCCCTCATCTGTGACTAAAGGCACATTTTGAAAAATGAAGTGAGGAAAACCATCGTAATAGAAGAGACTAGCATAACTGTTAACCAGGCATGATAGGTTTCTTGGGTTGTTGATCTTAAAATAAATTGAAGCTTAAAACAGACATGCCTCTTAATTTTAGTAGCCCTTTTTGCAATATCTCCATTGACTTCTGGTCCAGTTTCTGCTTGGAAAAATTTTCCTGAAAATCCTGGTGGGTTTTAAAATGGCTCTTCATCCTGTAGTGTATGCTAAAGTCCGGGCAGTACTGTTCAAAAAGTAATTAGCTTGACAGCACTCTAATTTATGAAAAAGGTTACTAAATATAAATGTGTTTCTGGAGCTGAAAGAAGTGCCATTTGCATCTGAATTTATAAGACAGAGGTACAAGATATAAGGATGGCACTTTGGTGGTAGCTGTGCTATTAAAATTTGCCATGTTCTGTTCACTGTAGTAGTTCACAAGGATTTCTTCCTGATATTTCCTGGTTTTGTATAAAGTAAAGGTACAACAGAAAAGGGGTCACAAAACATTAATTGCTTAAATTCGTGATTGTTGTGGGGTAGCACCCATGCCTGTCTTATTTTATTCAGTAATGTATCTGTATGTTGTTGAACCTTTCAGGAACCAGCTATTGCATATGCCCTTCAAGCACTACCAGGTGAACTGCTCTGACTGGTTGCTGAAAGTGATCTGTGGTGTAGTGGACATTCGCACTGTTTATGCGTCCCACAAGAAGGCGAAAGCCTGCCTCATCTCTCGCATCAGCTGTGAGCGAGCTGGTGCCCGGTTTCACATTCGAGGGGTCAATGATGATGGACATGTGTCTAACTTCGTTGAGACAGAGCAGGTAAGCGGATATATCTGATAGCTTTGAATAATTTAGTCCACTCAAGTTTAATTGGGGCAGAGTTTCCAACAAGAATTAAAAGAGTTCAGCAAGTGTTTTTTCCAAGAATATTTAAAATATTATTGCATGACAGATCTATTTGTTCTTGCCCATTAAGTATTTCTTTGTGATCCATTCTTTTTCTGTGTTTCTGACTTTTCCATGCACACAGTTTTCACTAATGCTTTTGATTTTTTTTCCTGAATGTGAAAGTCTGGCCATTTGATATTGTAGTGAGATACAGACATGGCTTTTTAAGCCATCCAGAGAGCTTTGTGTGTTAATTCATGCAAAATTGACATGTGTAACAATAAGTTTCTCAATTGCATGAAACTTGCTTAGTATTATCAGTCATGACACCCATGTGTTAAACAAAAGAATGTTTTGAAATGTGTCCCAGAATAAATGTAACACTTCTATACATTCTGCATACGTTTTAAAGTACATTTTTTTCCTAAGATTTATGATGTTTCCTATGCTATAGAATGTTGGAGAAGAGCTAGTTTGAAAGATTTTCTATAAAGTAATGGTCTCTACACTTCATTTCATAGAATCATAGAATCATAGAATTGTTTAGGTTG